ACAATATATATTGGATGAATTAGCTTTTCCACAAGATGACAAAAGACACTCTAGAACTCCCCTTAGTCAAACTCGGGGTTAGAAGAATGTGGGTGTGAGGAATCTCTTCATGTACAGCTGAAACACTGTTTATGAATCTGATCAATATTATGAAGACTAGGAATCAACACACACACACACTCACACACACACACACACACACACACACACACACACACACACACACACAATGGAGAACTTGGGGGAAGCCCTACGTTAACAAAGACTTGTACTCAATTGCTCAGGCCTCACTTGAGACAGGGAAAGAGCCTTTCAGCAAAGGGCAGGGCCCAGGGTCCTCTGTTTGGCCCAGTCTTGTCCACCCCTCCCCTTCCCTCGCCTCTGACTATTTAAAGGCACAAGGAAGAGGGTGGGAAATTCACTCTTGTCCTTTCTAGAAAAGGTGACTTGTGGCTTTGTTCTTCTCTTAAACTCTCAGTTCGGTTTCATAGTTTATCTTGTATGGGCTTTCATTCCCGAATCTTGATTAAACTCCTTATGTTTAACCTTTTGGCCTCAAAAATATTGAGCAACTGCATAACGTTCTCAAAAATATTGAGCAATTACACAGCCTATCTCCCTCCTTATTAGCACTATTACTAGTTATGAACTCCTACTTGGAATCAGTATAGTACCTCTCCACTCAACCCCATTTAAACGACTATAGAACAATGGGAGAGCCACCAACATTAAGAGATATTCCCATCAGTAAAGTTAGCAGCATATTCTTCCTTGAAGCCAAACAACTTAACAGTCAATTCTGTTTGGAGTGTAAAGATCTTAAGGCCAAACATTTGTAAGTTTGGGGCTGAATAATTTTGAACACATTTACATTGAGTGTCCTTTTAATACCAAATACTGAGATCTAAAAACATGAAAGTTGATCTCTAAGACTGACTTCCATTAATATCGCAAAATTTTCAAACATTAAGTTTGAATGGACAGAAGAAATAAGAAAGAGAAAGAATGACCTGTAGCCTATATCAATGAACTACAATGGAATGAACTTACTTGGCCCCTGATTCAAGAATATGAATTTTTCATGATGCATGCTTCTACAGATGTTTTAGTATGAGCCCATATTACTTTAAAAATTCAAACAAACAATCCTAGGAAGAATGCCATAATTCTTGAGAACAATGATAAAAGCTCAAATCCCAGTGACCTGCTTTCTATAGAAAACTGGGAAGAGAAAATATATAGCTCATAAGCAGAGACCATAGGCAGAAAGTGCTGCTCCACAATAGTAAAGAAAGTCCCTTAGCCTCAAACCCCAAGTTCCTCAGTCTCTCTCCTTAGAAGTCATTCAATGATCCAAGCTGTTGATTGACCTACACGCAAATATCCTTTCTCTACAAACAGGACACTATGTCTTACAGGAAGTCACAGATCTTCTATTTTTCACTTGACAAGCTATACTGATGATCAGTTTCTTCTTTTTGATGGCTGCATAGTCTTCCGCTGTACATATGCCATAATTTAAAAACAGTCTTATACTGTTGTCTGTAGGGTGTCACCTTCACAGCCATAAGTGATGCCATGTTCACATTTTCCTTTCCTTAGCTGCCAGGACAAAGAGTAGATTTTCCTCTGTTTCTGTCATTACATGCCATATTGTGTATAACTGTTTCCCATATTTCCTTTCGCTTGAAAAGATATTTATCACTGAATTATGGCCCATCATAAGCCAGTATGACTTCATCTTAAGTAGTTATATCTGCAAAGATCCTATATGCTCATTAGTTTGTGTTTTGTATGTTTGTGCACTACATGCCTGGTGCCCAGAGGTCAAAAAGGAAGTCAGATCCCCTAACCGGAGTTACAGGAGGTTGTGAGCTGCTGTGTGGGTGCTGGGAATCCAGCCTGTGTCATGTGAAAAAGCAGCCAAGTGCTCTCAACCATTGAGCCTTCTCTCCTGCCCTGACAGTTTTAATTATCAACTTGCCACAACCTAGAATCACTGGAGAAGGAAGCATCAGTTGAAGAATTACCTAGATTAGGTTAGCCTGTGGGTATGTTGCTGGGGGATTGTCTTTACTGTTAATTAATGCAGCAGGGTCCAGCCATTGTGGTACTATCCCCTGAGTCAGGGGTCTTGAAAAAAACAAAAAGACTGGTTGAGAGCAGGGAGTAAGAAGGCAGATGGCCTAGAACCTAGAAGCAACTTAGATGCCCCTCAACCAAAGAATGGATAAAGAAAATGTGGTACATTTACATAATGGAGTACTACTCAGCGGGGAGGGGGAGACCAATGAAATCTTGAAATTCGAAGGCAAATGGATGGCACTACAAGAAACCATCCTGAGTGCAGTAAAACCCAGAAATAGAAAGACAAACATGGTATGTACCCACTCAATATGGATATTAGATATTGAGCAAAGGATTAATAGCCTACCAGCCTCCAGAGAAGCTAGGAAAAAAGGAAAACCCTAAGAGAGACATACATGGTCCCTTGGAGAAGGGGAAAGGAACAGGAGCTCCTGAACAAATTGGGAGTGGAAGGGTAGGGGAAAGAGGAGTGGAGAAGAGGAGTGGGGAGAACATGAGGGATCAGGAAGATTGAGTTGGGGGATGAATAGAGGAGAGCAAGATTATAGGTTTAAAGAGAAATTTGGCACCAGGGAAATGCTCAGAGATCTACAAGAATGATCCCAACTAAGAATCTAAGCAATACTGGAAAGGCTACTTTAAATGCCTTTCCCCTATAATGAGAATGATGACTATCTTAAATGCTATCCTAGAGCCTTCATCCAGTAGCTGATGAAAGCAGAAACAGAGATCCACAGCTAAGCACTGAGCCTGGAATCCAGTTGCAGAGGAGTGATGAGCAAAGGGGTCAAGACCATGCTGGGGAAACCCCACAGAAACAGCTGGCCTGAGTAAGAGGGAGCTCACAGACTGTGGCCTGACAGCTGGAGAACATAACCAGGTCTCCAGAACGTGGGTGTCAGCTAGGAGGCCTGGGTAGTCTATGGGGGCGGTTGAACCAGTATTTACCCCTAGTAAAGAAATGGATTTTGGGAGCCCATTCCCCATGGAGAGATACTCTCTCAGCTTAGATACATGGTGGAGGACCTAGGCCCTGCCCCAAATGACTTGACAGACTTTGATGATCCCTCATGGAAGGCCTCACCCTTCCTGGGGAGTGAATGTGGGTTAGGATGGGGGGTTCAGGGGGGTATGGGAGGATGGGAGAGAGAGGGAACGGGCATTGTTTGCAACATAAGATTGTTTCTTATTTATTTATTTATTTATTTATTTATTTATTTATTTATTTAAAGAAGGCAGATGGCTGCATAGGTTTCATTCTGCTTTTAGCTGTGGATCTGTGGTCTGACTAGCTGCTTGAGTGAGTGCCTGCCCTGACTTCCCAGTTGTGTTGAAACTGTAAGCTAAATAAATCCTTTCTCCCCTAAGTTGCTTTTCATTAGAACAGTTTATCACAGCAACAGAAGTGAAACTGGAGCATTCTCTTTTCAAATAAGGTCACTTTTTTGCAATTATCTTTTTATTCTGTAACAATTTCATACAAATGTATAATGTATTATACTTTGAGGCTCTGATGGACCCAAGTTGGAGAAAGGGGTCACACTTTTATTTCAATTAATTTTGAGGATGCTGTACATCAAACTTGGAGACTCACACATGCTAGGCCAGGCCTTTACTAGCTAAGTTATGTAGCCAGCTTGAGGGGCACACTTTTACCTAGTACCCATCCAATGTGTTTGTTTTCATTGCCTTTGCACTTTAATTTTTTAAATCATGTAGACATGGGTAGAACTCGGCATTAGAAGTCTGTGGGATGGAGATGACAAGGTCAGAAGTACTTGGGTCCAGAGGACCCATGTTCGGTACCCAGCACCCACGTCAGACAGCTTACAACCACCTGACTCCAGCTACAGGGAAGCTAATGCTCTTCTGGCCTTCTCTGGCACCTGTACTCATATGTACATACTCCCCCATCTCCCCACCCGAACATGAAAGTGTAAGTAAAATCTTTTTTTTAAAGTTTCATTTAACTAACATCCCCTTCTCAGAATTAACCACTGTCAGCAGCTCAGTGACTACATTTCCACTTTTTAGAAAGAAACAAAATACATTTCATGTGTCACTTATTTAAAAAAAGTTTAATACCCAAATAACAGTCTAAACATCTAAATCTTTGAATAAATAGAACTTCCCTTCTCGTTGGCCCTGAATCTCATTACCATTACATAACCATCTCTTGTAAGTTGCTATGTCTCCTTCTGAGACATTTTTATTATTTAAAATAATTTTAATATTTTGCAAAGAAAGAAAAGCTCATAACAGAGAAATGTGTTTGCTTAACATTTTATGGGTGTGACAGCGTCACGATGAACTTGACACACATGGCCCAGATGCTAGGACAGTTAACATCCACCCATATTTGCTTCTTCTGTTACTATAATCACACCCAATATGATCAGTAATCATCTGTAGCATCTCCAATACTCAGATCATATGTAATGCTCTCTAACCAGCCCATGCGTTCTCCAGCAGGCCTTTGCAACTACTTCTGCAAAAGCTCAATCTGTGGTTTTCCTCTCTTTGCCTTTTAACTGCTAGTCATAAGACCCTTGGTGAGTGACAAGAACCATTTTTTTTTAAAAAAAAAATATATCTTTAGTTACTTTTACATGTTTGAATGTTTTGCCCTGCATGGATGTCTGTTCACCACATGTAGAAGTCAGAAAAGGCTATCAGATCCCCTGCATCAGGAGTTTCAGGCAGCTGTAAGCCTTGGTATGGATGTTGGAAAATGAACCTGGTCCTCAGAAAGAGCAGCCAGTGCTCTTAACTGCTGAGCCATCTTTCAAGCCCCCATATGATGAGAAAATTTTTAAATTTTAATTTAAAAACTTTTAAATCTAATATGTCTGTGGACTTAGAACAACAAAAAACTTCCTTGTTTGGGGGAAAAATAGCTTGCGAAAGGTAAGTCCCCTTTTAACATTTTATTTTGAAATTATTTCAGATGTACACAAAAGTCGTAGAAATAGGCTATGGTACTCTATCAGATCCTCCATGTTTTGAGTGTCTTTCAACTGTAAGTTGCAGATAGTATGACCCATTAATACTTAATATTCCAGTGCATGTTTCTTATATACAGAGATCTCAAGTAACTGCACAATAGCAATTGAAATCTGGGGATAACATTGGTCCAATGTATAATCCTCGGGTGCAGCTCAACTTTCCCTTTTCCTTTCATATTTTAAATTACATATTACTCCCTATTTTCCTAAGAGATTAAATAAAACAATGAATCACAAAAGGCCTCCATTTTGCTCCCCTCCCCCCCAATCCAAGGCCCTTAACCAGTTATCAAAATGTGCTTACCTCACTTTCCAAGCAGCTATTCTTGACAAGCCCTCCCTTTCTTGTTTCAATCCCAACTATTCAATAATAAAATTAAAACTTCTGGGGCCCGTCTTTTATAAATGACTAATTATATCAACTGAAAATGTTTCTCCACCTCTTTAACAAAAATCTACAATCTGCATGGCTATCCCTAGATTTGGTTATTTATGTGATCACTTCTTGTATCTCTGTTTTTGTAAGTCACCATTGACTGTCCTCGGTCCATGTTCGTGTAGCCAATCTCCTGTTATTACCTAGCATGGAGGCTACAGATCTGGAAGAGCATCTGCTGAAAAACATAAGCCTCCACCACAAGGCCTAGATGCTACTGGTGCTAAGTATTATCCCTCTAAGCCCTCAATGGCTATGGAACATACCTGATAGACCTTTCAGCTTCCTCCAGTGCCAGTGAAGTCCCTCACTACTTCAAACTTGAGGGATTTGAAAGGTTGATGTTAAGCTTTCAAATCTCCGTGGTACTGTATCAAAAGCTTAATAAAGTGCGGCTTGTTGCTGTCTGATTTTTATTCTTTGAAAACTGGCACCCAACCTGTGGCTACAATTTGAGACAAACTCTGTATAAATGATTTCATTATTCACCCATTTAAAAGCAAGAAAAGAACTGTGTTCGAAGCACCAAGCCGATGTTTCAGGTGCCCAGGGAAACTGCAGGTCTTGTTCTGGAAGGTCACACCCATTGTTTTGGAATCTGAATAGACAGGTCTGGCAAGATGCCACCTCCCATGTCTGGTCATGTAGTGACAGACCTGGTACACAGGAGCAGAAGGTGAACACAGATATGGACAGAGTTTGAACAGCCTTCGAAGTAGGGTGGAGTCACTGCTCATGATATTTTCTCTACTTTAGAATGTTTGGGAATTTTCTCTAATTAAAACAAAAATGCTCATTAAGTGGATTAACCATGAGAAATATTTTCTTTTGAAGGAACTGCAATTTCCAGTGGTTTTTAGGCCCCCAGTGAGCGGAGAAGCTGTCATTATTTAAGTCAAAACAAATTTGAGAATAGCGTAGAAAACCATTCTCAAGAGCCTTAAAAGAAAAAACAAAAAGCATGTAGTAAACCATGTAGGCTGACTGTGAAATAACACGGAGGAGTTCCTCCTCTAGGCTGTGTAGTAACAGGGCAGTTTTTGTGAGCATATAAACCCCTTTCTGATTTGCCTGGTAACCGTTCCTGAAATGAACTACTTAAGTATTAAGGTCAATAAAGTTGGTAAGTTAACCTAGGTGATGAGAATACATATTATTTATTTCCACTGTGTGGAAGTTAAAAATTTCAATAGGTTAAAAACATTTTTTTTCCCTAAAAAAAATTACTCTCGATTATTATAATGGGCCAAAGCGTCTCCCCCTCCACCCTGTGGGCCTTCGCTACCTCCTGTGTCCTCAGCCTCCTCAGCTCCCAGGCACTCTGCCATCAGAGGATTCAGCTCCGCAGCCATTTCCCAATGTGGGGCATCTGCGCATGTGCCACGGAAGAGTGGAAAAACAGTGGCAGGGAAAAGCAGCACGTGCTGCTATACATTGTAGGAAAGCAGGGGGCGGGGCGACACAGGTTATCTGCATTGAGCAAGCGCAGAACATCTGCAAAGCAACTGATAGTGAGCACGCATGCGCCCAATCACAGGGCCCTATCGCTAAACAAGGCTGGCTGCAGGGTAGTGGGCAGTTGAGGAGGGTTGTGCATACAAGCTCTTTAAGGGTTCTTCTTTAGATTGCTGCTTCAGCCGGCCAACGTCCAGAACAAACATGTTTGTGCTGAGTAGCAGCACTAGAGTTCCAAGTCCCATCTGGTCACAGATCTTCACTAAAAGGGCCTAAAGGAATTAGCTTTCTTGAGTAGAAGCCTTAGAGACTAAGGGTATCTTCACCAAGCTGCATCCCGCTGCTGGGTTAAGTCATGTGGCATGTGTTACACAGGTGGATGCTGGAGGCAACTGAATTGGTGGGGCTTGTTTTGTTTGTTTGTTTGTTTTTTTAAGTAGGGAAAATAATGGAGGAGGGGAGGACATGAAGGGCAGAGGGATGTCTTGTGGGATTCAACTTTCGGCCCTTTCTGTAGTTTTCTTTAAACATCCTTAGACTGGTTTCAAGCGTAGGCTAGCCCTGCATTTCAAATTCTAGAGCCCTTGTGAGTTACCCACCCCTACCCTGAGGACAGCCTCAGCCCAGTCTCAGGTATGCTTGGAAGATGGACATGGTGGCAACCTGTGCTGCTTAGAAAAGGCTTGGAGGGGCTAGCCAATGATGAAGGGTGTGGTGGCATTGTTTGTTAAGGAGGTGAGGCAGAAGTCAGAGGAGGCTTTCGACTTTCCTAGATGTGGAGGGAGGAGCATGAGGGGGCTCAGAGAGCAACCTGTGGCCCTAGCTGCTGTCACCCTTCTCCCATTTGTGGGCAAACCTGAGATCTTGCCCACCTGCCCATGGAATTGGGGACCAGCCCCTCACAGACTTATACCCATATTTCCAGAGTAGAGACCGAATTTAAATGCCAAATGTGGTCACTCCAGCAGTCATTCAGAGTCCTGTGAACAAGCCATTGTTGGGGACCTGGTCCACCGAGGTGGAGGGAGGAGTGGAATACTTGGGTGGGTAACGGATGAAAAGCCGGTCCTCTTCCTTCCTCACCCACCGCAGGAGCTTCGTCACTACTAAGATGGCCCCTGCCTTGGTCACGAGGGGGCTCAGGCAAGTATAGAGCTCAAATTTGGAGGTCACCTAGAGAGATGGGGAGGAGACAGTCAGATGGGTTAAAGCTAGCAAGGAACAATCCTGTGCTCCCAAACCCTGCCCTGTGTGCTCTTGAAGCTTGGGGACAAGATTGGCAGCAACTGGGTATGGCTTGCTGGGCTAAGACAGGCAATCTGGGATAATCCTGTGAAGACAGGCAGACAAGAGGCCAGCTGGATCAGTGGCTTCAACTGGGTCATTCTGACTGAGTATATGTGTGTTTCTCAGTTTGCTTATCTGTGGGTTAGAGATAATGGTAACACCAACAAACAACACTCAATATTCAGTGAGCAATCATTGCATACAAGGCTGTTCCATGCTCCTGCCCCTGTGTTTTCATCATCTATAGCCTTGTATAACTCGGGCCTCACACCAACCTGTGACCTTTTCTGTGCCACTTCCCACTGCTCTCCCTGGGGCTCTTTCTGCCCCAGCAACTTTGGCCTTTCTTTGCCTCAGATCTGCAGTCCTTTATGCATAGGCAGTCCCCCCCCCCCTCAAGGCACCCAGGCAGCTCATCACCTTCTCTCCACTGGGTAGCCATCTTTTCAGCAAGCCTTCTCCCAACCACCTGATTTAAAACCCTAGACCTACTAAATCTTGGTTTTAAAATGTCAGTTCTTTAGACAAAGATAGTAAGAGATTCCTAGGTATCTAGGAAAGACATTATAAGTGAGCAAGCAATGCTCATATGTGACAGAAATGGCTGTGGGAAACAGGCCCAGGCTGACTAAATCAGGGGGTCTACTGGCTAAGTCAGAAATAACTGCCATAAATGGCAGACAATATTTTTAGACTACCAAATTCAAGAGAAATCTCATGAGGCCATATTCACATAAAATATAAAATTTGGGGTCAGTGAGATGGTTCAGTGGATGAAGGCACTTACCACCAAGCCTGACAACCTGGTAGGAGAGTATGGATTCCCACAAGCTGTCCATTGGCCTCTACACTCAATACCTGTGTGCATGCACACATACATACAAGCTAAATGTAATTTTTAATTAAAAATCCCAACAAGAGTTGGTTTTTATATGAAGTCCCAATTATAAATTTCAAAAGTAGGGCCATTATGAAACACCCCACCGCCAGGTGTTAGTGGCTCACCTTTAATCCCAGCACTCAGACTCAGGAGTCAGAGGTAGGTGGATCTCTGTGAGTTCAAGGCCAGCCTGGTCTACAGAGCTAGATCCAGGACAGCCTCCAGCCTCTAAAACATTACAGAGAAACCCTGTCTCAAAAAAAAAAAAAAAAAAAAAAAAAAAAAAAGAAAGAAAGAAAGAAAAGAAAAGAAAAAAGATCTTCCCCTGCTCCCAGGAACTGCTACAAGTCAGATTGTAGAGGCACAGTAAACTGAGAGGGAGGAGTAGGATTCTGAAACCACAACTGTGTGGGCCATGCCTGCCACAGGAGCTTGCTGATTACCAAGGGTGAACACTAACTCTGTGGTAGAAATGTGACAGGTTCCACCTTAACTACGTGAGCCAAGCCTGCATCACATGCCGTTGAATCAGTGTGGAAACTGGCTCACCCACTTGCTGCACGACTCTGATCATGGTCCAGCAAGAGGAAGCCAGAGCCAAGGGGCACTCTACAAGCAAGCTTACTAATGTCCTTTGAAAGTGCCAAGGCCACAAGGCAATAAAGCCTGGAGAACCTTTCCAGAACAAACGAGACCAGGGCACATTAAAAAAACAAAACAAAACAAAAGACAAAACAAAAACCAACAACAGATCCACTGTATGATCCTGGACTGGGTTCTGGACCAGTAAGCAGACATGAACAGACAACTGCCAGAATGCTTATGAAGCCTGGATTCTATGTCACTGCAGTGTTAACTTCCTGCTATGGCAAGCCACTAGAGTTTTGTGAAAGATTACCTTTGGAGAAAGTGAGTGAAAGGCCTTTTTATGGTAGTCCTTTATACTAACTTTGGCATTTCCAACTACAAAATTAAAAACAACAAAAACCCTAGCCTAGAACAATGTTGAATCCATATTAATATGCACTGCTATTTTGAACCTGGTGGGGAAGGTTTTACTTCCTAAGGGATTGTCTGCCTGGCCACCAGTCTCCCTCAGTAGCTGATCTTTACAGTCCCACAGGAAGGTCACTCCAGGTAGAGGGCATGGAGTGGTCCTGAACCAGCTGTGGTCAAGGAGGGCCAGGACTCTATACTGGTAGACAGGGAATTGGCAAGCACCAATAGCTACAGATGGGATCTTAAAAAGTCCAAGACCCTGTCCTGATTGTTCATGGGGGGAAAACAAAGAAATGGCAGGGTTAAGATAGGGTTGCAGACAGTGAGAAATCCTTCAGTAGTTTAAGACACTTGTCACCAGATCAGTGGTACAGATAAAGGCAAAGCCTAGGCAAGTTCCAGTGTGCCTATGGGGGCTGCTAAAGCTAAAGGGTTCATCACAGGGCTTGCAGTAGGGAACTAATTTACTGACAACTTGACCAACTCACCCAAGCCAGCAGTGTCTCCTTCTCCGCCACATGGTAAATGAGGCGCAGGGGCCGGGAGGTGCTATGGAGGCGAGCATGCAGGCGGTGATACAAGTCCGACAGTCGCTGTCGCTCCTCCTCTCTGCTGTATGGGGCCTCTAGCTCAGGACTGCAACAGAGGGAGGCAGTGGCACTGTGAATCATGGACCTGCCTCCCCTCAATGTCTAGGGATTGTAATTAGGTTATAGGGCTCATCCTCCCGAATAAGACAACAGGGTTTCCAGTGGTTGTAAGCCAAGCTGCCTCCATTAAACTAGGAAGAAGAGCCTTTTCCCCACTAGAACAGAGAACTGTCCCTCCTTTCTAGAACATGGCTGGCTATCTCTCCTAACGCATGTGTACAAGATGCTAACAGTCCTGGTTAGACATGTCTGTAATTACCTGTAAAGTCAGGGCCCACCTGGTAAACTGTGGCAGCTGGCGGTGTTGGTCAGGGATGTCCAGTGGCTTATAGAGGAAATGCCTGAGGCCAGGTGCTCCCACAGCCTGCACACTGTAGGCAGGGGCATTGGCGGCTGGTCCATTAGAGAAGCTGGCAGCCTCCCCAAGAGTACGCAGGGCACCAAGGTTGTGCATCCCATCTTCAACCAAGCGCCGGCAGGCAGCCATGGCATGGAAAGCTTCACGGTTGGTACCAAGCAGCAGCAGGCAGACAGGCATGGAATCCAGGCGAGCCACATAGGCATAGAAGAAACCATCTGGGTTGAAGCGAGGCAGGCACACAGGTGCCCATGCCTCACCTGCTGCAAAGGCTGGTGCACCCACCCAGTCAAGCAGCAACTGAAGATCAGCCGGGTCCAGCCGGCACTCAGCCAGCACATTCCTCTCCTGGGCTGCAGTTATCAGTCGGCCACCAACAGCAAGCACTGATAGGGCCAGGCCTGGGGCTGTACAGCGCCGGAGTAGTGTACCCAAGGCATCCCGTAGTGGTCTGGCCAGAGGCACACAGCGTACAGCACCCAGGAGCAGGGCACCTGGGTCTTGCTCCACACTGTCCAGAAGCCGGTCTAGCGTGCGTTCCGAGCCAGCCAGCAGGCGACGTAGGTCATAGTTCTGCTTATGTGCAAAGATGCGGGCCACGCTTGCACGTGTTAGCGTGCTCACAATTTGTGCGTGCACTGCAAGCAGCTCACCCCGTAGCTGTGCTGCTGATTGTGGAGTCCGGGACACAGCCACCAGCAGGAGGGGACCCTGCTGCAGGAACACCAGCTTGTGGTCCTCTAGGGGAAGGAAGAATGGGCAGGGCAGAGGCAGACGAGGAATGAACCAAGGGGTCAGACGGGACACCTTTCCCAAACATTCTCCAACACACACAGCACCTGCCCTGAGCCTGCACTCCTACTCTGTGAGCACCAAAATTAGGGCAAGGACAAGCTAGGGGTATCGGGACATTTGTAGAGTTAAGTGGGCTGCGGAGGAATAGGTAATTTGTACAGACAGCATGGAGTCAGGGTGGTGGGAATTGTGTGACGGACAAGGACTAAAAGAAAGCCAGGTCATATAGCACACCTCCTCACTCCCAGGCAACCTGGTGGTATACTGCCAGCCACTTGGATGGAACCTAAAGAGATGGACCTCCAGACAGTCACCCTCACTGACTTACTTTTGGTGGCCAGACAGACTCATGTAGGCTGGCAGACATGCAAATCTACCTAGGGCTAGTTACACTGACTCTAACCACCTAGCTATATTCCCAGCCACCAGTCCCCATCATTCCCCCCTTTCTCTTCACTCACCAGCATAGATGGCACGGATGGCATCTCCTGCACTCTGTACGAAGGACACGAGGGCTGTCATCACACCCATGGTGGCAGACAGTGCCTCCACACTACCATACCGTGAGTAGATGGGCTTGCCTGCTTCACTCAGCACAAACACATGCTTCCGTTGGCTGCGCCAGTCCTCATCATTGGGGTCCTCATCATTGGGGTCATCATCATTGGGGTCCTCATCATTGGGGTCCCCATCCCTGGGGTCTTCTCCCTGGCCCTCAGAGGTACCCTCAGGCTCTCCAGTGGGATTGCCATCTGAAGCTGCAGTTTTCCAGGGCTCACAAGTGCTTGGTGGGGCCTCAGCCTGAGGTTCAGGTGACAGGAGGCTGGATGGCTGGTCCTTGGCCTTGGATCCTGAAAGGGAGCCCTGAGTGGCTCATCTCCCACTAAGCATGTATTTCAACAATCTATCAGTCCCTTACCAGTCCCCTGACTCCCAATGACCCAAGCATGCTGACAAAGATCTCCATATGTCTTCCTAGGTATTTGGTGAATAATGGCTGACACTGGCCGGGACCTTTCTAACCATGTCCACTAACGCTAAAGTTTCAATGAGCCCCACCCTAAAAACACAAATAACCCAACATGTCCTCACTGTTGTTCCCTGGCCCCTCCATTATGTCCTTTCAACACTGCCATTCCTGGCTCTTCAAAGCACCCCACTCTCCGAATAACTATTATCTACAGTGGCTCTTCATTAACGTCTCTGACCATGTATTCTCCTGATGTGTACTTACTCACTGAGGGCAGTGGCCACTATTAAAACACACCCACTGACTCTCCTAATCCTTCTTTACTCTTATTCACATCCACTCATTCCCAGTAATGTCCACTAAGTCTCTTGGTTAACCATACTCCCAGTAATAGTCCTTATTTCTCCCATTATAGTGGCCATTAACAGCCACTGACATCCAGATCACCAGGACTCCCCTAACCTCAACTACTCCCCTACTTACTTACACTGCTACATCAGCACCCCAGCAAGTACATATTAATGTCACCAACACTTTACTCTTCAATAACCTTACATGACAGCTCCATGCCCCTCCACTTCACCAATGGCCACCATTAACTATTACTAACACATAAGGCTTTTGTGATATTCAGTCACTCCCCCCCTCTCCCTGCCAAGATTATCATTTTAAATCCACAATGAAACCCCTTGCTTCCTTCGACACATATTCATTCCCACTGCCACTGAGGTCTACTGAGACATGCAAGGACAACCATTGATTTGCAACCTCATCTTAATTTTCTCACATTCAATGTTTTCATATTTTCTTAATTGCAAACTGACAATCCCATGTTTCCAAATACCCATGTAACTTGTCTCAGTTCCCATTGCCTGTCAAGATAACACTTTAAAAACCCAACCACACCCTTTTTGATTCTTCAAAGATCTAAGCTCAGGTCAAGTACATTCTGATTTCTCTACAACATAAAAGTGTACCAGGATGTTAAAATGGGATTGACCATTCTGGACAAATTAGCACAGTCTATCTTCTTACCATTGACCCCTCATGATAGGATACATCCTGCCCCTCCCAGACACTCGCTGGCTCCCTTGTCATTTCTCAGTGATTTCAATTAAATCAGTAAGTCTGCGACCAACTACTGATAAAGCTATGCCTCAAGCTACTTTCTTGGGGTCCCAAAGACTGCCCACTTGTCTTCCGTTGATCTCTTTCCCCTTGAGTTGGCAGTGACAACCCCCAGGGACTGCTTCCAAGGCTCCATTGAGGGAAGCTGTACCTGCGTCCTCCGGGTCCCCATCTCCGGGATCCGGCGTGCTCGAGTGAACCCCTTCACTGTCTCCAGCCTCCTCAATGGGCAACTGCGTGTCCACCGAGTCCTCCACGCCCCCGGGGGCTGGGACAGCACTATCGCCTCCGGCCTCCATCTGCACATCCCTGGGGAGAAGGGGAATGAAGGGTGATGGGCAGCAACAGAAAACTTCTTAAAATCCTTTAGGGAGTCAGGCCCCCTGGAAACATTCCTAGTGCTATTTCCTCTACAGTTTTCGACAGGACGCGACATTCATAAACATGATCAAATACTTGCACCCTCCGGCACTTTCGGAAGGGTGAACTCCGATGAGTCTCCGCAAACTACGATACATTAACACCTGTTTCAACCCCACATCTCAACTGGGTGGACAGCAACACTTCCCGGAGCCGCGGCGGCACCACACTTCCTGGTGTGGTGAGGATATGCCACACTTCCGGAAGCGACGCCTCCCGGGACACTTCCGGTTCCACAGCGGTATTTACTCCCTGCAGCACCGATGGTCGCCCGCACGCTGCGTTTCCTCGCCGTACAGGTGGCGCGGGACTCTCATGGAACTCTATAGAATCTTCACTGAGCGACCCTCTCTCGGACGCAGGCAGGGTCCGCTGTGAAGTGTGGTGTACCAAGGACTACCGACTGAAGAGGGCGCAGCTTGCACGCTAGGCCAAGAGGGCGGAGCCTGGTTCCTTTCAGCCAATCAAGAGTAAACTTTCCCTTATGCTCCTCCCCATTCATGTAGCGCCTCTGCAAATACTGTGCGCTAATTGGTGAATGCCATTCCTTGACTGACATCTCGCTGTTTCTAACCGAAACCTCGAGCCTGTTCCTGTCTTGACTGGAGCGAGATGACGCCGAACCAATGAACTCGCTTCCTCAGAACTGGGACATCTCTCTCCTTTATTGAACAGGAGAGGTGGGGGCGGTCCTGGGGCGGAGCGTGTGCTTGACGGACAGTCTCTCGTTCCAATCGGAACGTCGCGCGCAGCCCAATCAGCCTATGGGACTCGGGTGCTGAAGCAAGAGACGGGGCTCTACTTGTAGGAGTCGGGATCACTCCAGCCTGTGCGAGATGCGGCACTACGGAAGCAAAGGCGGACGGCCTAGGGTTGGTATGTGCGGGCAACACGAGCCCTCTTCACTGGCAAGGAGAGATTCTGTGGACCGAGGCAACTAGACCGTCAGCCTAAACCTAGGGCGGGGTGGAGGGGTGGAGCTTTCAGGGACTGCTGTGTTCTGGTTGCCTGAGGATTCTGCCTAGATGGATGAAGAGCCACCCACAGTGGTAGTAGGGACTCTGGTGTCCCTAAGCACCTAGAAGTTCATCTTCAAGGCTGCGCGGGTGGGGATGCCTAAGCGACCAGAAGGCTCTCCAAGCCGACAGTTCATTTTGTTTTTGAGTCAGAGCTCCTTATAGAGTTCAGCTGGCCTTAAACTAGCGATCCCACTCCTTCATCCTCTATATCTGCCTACCAAACTCAGGTCATGGCAGATTATAGTTGTGCTCCAGTACCCCTGCAAAACCATTAGGTTTAATATGAGGGTGTGGCTGTACCTGCTGTGGTCTCCCAGGTCCTTTTTCTCTGGGTCTTTCTGTACATCCGTCTTTGAGACGGCTTAAGCCTCTCTGCTTCCTGCCTCTGCTTCCCTAGTATTTGAAATTACAGGAGTGCCTAGGACACCAGGTTTGTGTAGTGCTGGAGGGTTTTTGTTTCGTTTTGTTTGTTTTTGTTTTTCGAGACAGGGTTTCTCTGTGTTGCTTTGGAGCCTATCCTGGCACTCACTCTGTAGCCCAGGCTTGCTGGGATTAAAGGCTTGTGCCACCACCACCTGGCTGGTGCTGGAATTCTACCCCAAGGCTTCATATGTATTGGGTCAGCACTCTACCATCTGAGATATATCCCCAGCTCCAAGATCAAGGAAGTGTCTTCAGCCAGAAGACAAAACATCCCTAAATATTTAGATACTTAAGGACAAAACTTCAAAGTACACTACTGCCAAACTGACAAAACTCAAAGGAGAAATAGCTCATAAAGATAGGTGTCGATTTCAACATTCTGTGCTTAGTAAAAGAGGTCAGAACTGGTAGGCAAAAATAAGTAGATAGGTAAATAAATATAAATAGATAAATAAGGATACAAAATATATAAACAGTAGCCAAATTTAGTTAATTGATATTTATGAAACCATTACACCCAATTGCTGCAGAGCAGACATTCTTTTCAAATGCACATGCTGGACCATAAAAATGGTAATACATCTTTAGAAACTAAATCCTTCAGAGAAAATTATTTGATTATGACAAAAAGTGTATAAAGTGTTAACAGGAGAATTCTTCCAACATTAGAAATTAGGTCAATACTGATCATATGAACATATGAACCAGGTATTAATTCATTGGATATTAAGGAGTCTCTTCAGCTTTAATGAAAGCAGAAACAATGAAAAATGCAGAAAATGCAAATCATTAGTGCTCACAGGAAATTTACAACTTTATATGCTCACATAGATATGAAAAGAGATGCCCTTAATCACTGATCTACATGTAAACCTTAAGAAGATAGAAAATAAAGAGGAAGCTAAACCTGCAATAGGAATAAGAAAATAATAAACATGGAATTCAGTGAGATAGAAAACATACAGTCAAAAGAGAAAATATAGAAATATTTTTAAAGGGTCAGTATAGCTTAAAATGTGTGTGTTTAAGTGACTAAATCAATGATCAATAGGATTGAAAGGTAACATGATTAGAGATCTCTTAGACATATCACAATGCTATAAATTAGTTTTGAAGAGAATGAAGTATAGGTAGTTATGCTTGTTCATATCTGAGGGATACCAGAGTTAGTAGAAGCTAGGTAGCATAACTCAGGCTGGGAATGACAAGTGACTGGGCTAGAGGCCAAGAGATAACTCAGTTTCTCACACCCTGTCCCAGGCTTGCCTCATTGGAGACCTTTTGATTTTGTTCCTACATCAGAGTTCTTAAGGGCACCCATTAGATTGGTGCCTCTCAACCTGTGGGTTGCTACCCCTTTGGAGGTCAAATGACCCTTTCCCAAGGGTCACCTAAGACCATTCTGCATATCAGTTATTTACATTACCATTTATAACAGTAGCAAAATTAGTTATGATGTTGCATGAAATAATTTTATGGTTGGGGGTCACCATAACATGAGAAACTTTATTAAAGGGTCACGGCATTAGGAAGATGGAAAACCTTTGCCTTAGAATGTGTAAGTTGGTAAGATGCCTAGTTACCAGTGAGATTCAAGGAGAGGATAGAGGAGTAGATACACCTTTGTTTGCATCAACATAGTTGTCCTTTGCAAAAATGACCAGTAGATGGCAGAAAAATCCACATGATAGAGACTTTCTAAAAATCCACTCACTGTCCAGTGAACACCAGGAAAACACCATCAAATTGTCATGGGCTTAGGTCCTCACCTCCCTGATGAGACACTGACATGAAACTGTCTCAAGACTCTCATTTCCCTCACACTTCTCTTCATTAAGACTCACTAGGAGGACCTAGTCTACTCTGAAGACTCCTTTCGAAAGGTTTGAATATGCTGCTTCACATTTGGTAGTAGCATGTTCTGAATTATAGCAGAGATTAACAGTATCTGAAATAAGATACTATTATAGTTCAGAAGTAAGGAGAGCTGGTATTTGTTCAGAACTATGTAGTAGGAAAAATTGATAAACATTGACAAGGAAAATGTAGCAACTGAAGATATAACTTGGTGGTTAAAAGTACTTTGCAGAGGACCCATGTTTAGTCTCTAACTCCAAGGCCAGGGCATCTCACACCCTCTTCTGACCTCTACTGATACCCACATTTATGTGGCATTACCTAGACAGGCAAATAAACTGGAAACCAGGAGGAGGAGAAGTAGGAGTAGTTAGATTTGCTTATTGTCCTAGCATATCTCCCTGTTTCTGCCATAGAACACTAACCAAAAACAACTTTGGAGAAGAATGGTGTGTTTGGATTATAGGTTATGTTCATCATCCAAGAAAGTCAAGACAGAAGCTTGAAGCAGAAACCACTGAAGAATATTGTTCACTGACCTGCTTCCCATGGCCAGCTCAACCTACTTTCTTATATATCCCAGGACCACCTGCCCAGGGGAGGCACCACTCATGATGGGCTGGATGGACCTTACCACATAAATCACTAATTAAGAAAATGTCACACAAATTTCACTACAGGACAATTTGATGGAGGCAATACTTCAACTAAGGTTTCCTCTTGCTAGGTGACTCCAGTTTGTTTCAAGTAAAGTAACCAGCACACTGACTATAATTTAAATATCACACAATATATATGAACAATTTTATATCATTTAAAAATTAAATATATAGTGAACCCTTTCCCATAATAATGAGTCTACTCCATATATAGTGGCATTAATCCATTTTAGATGGTGGATCCTAGATGCCTACCTTCTAAATACTGTCACAATGGCACCTAAAATTCATCATGAGTTTTTTTTTTCAATGTATTTATTTATTACACATACAGTGTTCTGCCTTCGTGTTCATTATAGATGGTTGTGATCCTCCATGTAGTTACTGGGAATTGAATTCAGGACCTCTGGAAGAGCAGCCAGTGCTCTTAACTCTGAACCATTTCTCCAGCCCTCATCGGGAGTTTTAAAAGAACAAATCTACAAAGTGTTTGCTTTGCAGTGGTCATGTGGCATGATATTTTATACAGTTTTAACTGGGAAGCACACTGGTACTCAGAGATCAAAATCTTGCCCAAGTTCACAGAGTTTGAAAAGGATACATGCTTATTTTCTTTTCATTTGTCTATAGTTAGAACTCAGATGAATAGTAATTGCTCTCTTGACCAAATGAAGCATGTGCTAAAATCTCGTTAACTACACTGCTTCGAACAGTGGATAAGATTGGTCTGCTCTGAGTCAGGGTAACCCTTAGTTAATTTGTTAGGAAATCATGTGGCAATAGCTATGCTGATGTAAACAGAATATTTGAACCTAGGCTCCCCTGCTGAGTCCAGGTTACAGGATCCTTTCTAGTTCAGTGGATGGAGTAATTACATCACATAAGCCACCTGCTGTACAGGACCAACTCATTACTGTTCTCCATCTCCTTCAAAAGCAAGGTGTGTCTCCAGTTCATCCCACCTGCTGTGTATCTCTGGTAGCATGGCTCAGTTTTTAAGAGCATCATGCTATAGGTGAACGTCCTTGGGACCAGCTTTGTTCTCATTACAGTATGCTAAGAGTCTTGTGCCTACACTAGTCCCTTTCCTAAAACTTAGTGCAATGGTTAGGGTTCTTGGCTGAAAGGAAGAGAAGCTGGCTCCAGGAAGCACCTTGAAAGTCTAGAAGCACACCTGCATCTCTCCTAACAGTACAAGGTAGAGAATGGGTGCCATGAAAGACAGAATCAGAGACTGGAGAGAGCCTGAGAACTGCACATTGGGTCTCTGTACAAGATTCTTTCTGGGTAT